GATCCCAATCTCCCATAATTGGCCCAATCTTCCCAGCTTAGGACCCCTCGTTGCAACCGCGCAAAAAATCGCGCGTTACAGAAAATGGTTCGTCACATATGTGACGCCCAAGGGCTTCCAATATTAGCAAGCTCCTGCTTGCTTGTTGACACGTGTCGATTTCTCTAATCGATCGACACGCGGAGCACTTCTCTTTATGCCACTTACCGTTCGATTGCGTGTGGACGTCATCCAACGTGGCAACACTGCTCTTCTACTAGTTCCTCAGATTGGGCTCTCGACGATCCAAGGACGGAATCTTTCTCGTGCCGTCGCCGCGACACGCGTCCATTACCTGTTGCCTCAGTAATTAACCGGGAGGGGGAAAGGGAGTCGGTACATGGCGGCATGGCGGGGTGGAGGGTTTATGGGTAGCGGGGGCAAGAGACTTTCCATTCCGGCTACAGTCTCCGGGAACTCTTGGTAACGGACAACGCGGTGAAAGCGGGGGAAGTGGTTGCCAGTGCGAGGGAGGGACGCGAGATAATTGGGATAGAGGGTGGTGAGAGTCCGGAAAAGTGCCGCGCGGAAACGATCGCGATCTTCGCATGCGGGGATGGTCCCCGTTATCACGCAATAAACCTCGATCATATTGTGGCCTCGCCACGTGACACTAAGGAACAAGGCGTGGAGGCAGAAGGCTGGGACAGCGCATTGAATGGAGGGGTGGGGATGCACCACTATAGCGAGGCGAGCAGCGTAGAAGTGGCGGAAGGTGTCGCGAGGAAACGTATTGGAGGGGAAGGTGATGGGGGTGGTGAGCTGGCGGAGGGTGAGGTAGTCAAGGGGACGACGAGAGAGTAATCGGGGACGAAGGCCGATCGCCGGTATCGGTACATCGGCGAACTGGGGGACGGGTTGGGGAGAAGGGGGATCGGTTCTGCCACCGCGTTGATGGGGTCGGAGTCGTGGCCGCGAGGTCGCCATCTTCAGGCCGGGGCGGCTCCGGATCTCGGTTCAGGTCGTCGTGGATCTGCAGACTCTCCTCGCTTGCGAGCTCTAACTCCTTCCCGACCGCGACTTCTTCTCTTTTGCGGGCCGCCTCGAGATCCTCCGCCTCTGTACCCGTACGCAGCGCTTTACGGTTTCCCACTCCGATCCAACAGGTTCTTCTTCGTGCTCCTCTTCTCCTTCCTCGTCTTCTTCTTCTTCTTCGCTCTGTTCCCCCTCGCTATGCTCGCTATAGCTTCCCTCTTCGGGAGTTTCGTCTTCTTCACCGAGCTCTTCGTCGCTATCTCCTTCTTCCTCCCGCTCGTCTTCGTCCTCGTCACTCCTGGTGCTTTCTTCTTCCTCCTCTTCTTCTCGAATGGCAGCAAACTGCTCTGCTGTAGGGTGCTTGAAGAAGGCAGGCTCGCGAATCGTCCGGGGATCCAAATATTGTTGCTGCGACGACGGGATGCGCTCTGCGGCTCCTTCTACGCAAGCCGACCACTGAAGATAAGGTGTCAATGTGCGAGAAAGTACGTGGGGAACTGGATGCTCGTCGTCTTGCGAGATGATGTCGAGAGGGAGATCGTCCGCCAGCTGTGCTACCGAGATCGTGAGCTCTTGCGTGATGAGTTCCTGATGACCGGGCCGCACGGTACCGAATAAAAACGCGAGAAGCTCTCCCTCCACGTTGGTTCGCTAGGCCTGGATAAACAACAACTCCAGGCGCTTTATGCAAGGCGGGTGCACTTCGTCCTCGATCCACGTCAGCCGTATCTCAACCAAGCACAGTGAAAGCTCAACGAAGTCTTCGCGCCACAAGACCCAATGGGGAGGATGGAGAAGGGGGACAGCAAGGGGCTTTAGACAATAAGAAAGGCGAGGATGGATGTCGGAGTGCCAGAAGGTGGGGAAGGTGGAGGGGAGATCAAAAACGGAGATCGGGGAGAGACTCATTGGGGACGTGCAAAGGGAACGAGGACAGGGAGATCTGTCGGCGGCTCGCGCTGATACATCCGAAGGCCGTCGTATTCGATCGCTCGTGTCGTTGCGACTGTATTTCCGGGACGAGCCTGAAGCTAGGTCCACTCGGCGACCAGGTCGTTTGCCCACACGCGCAGCGATGCCTTCACTGCTGAATGTCGTAGGGGAAGGAGCGTGGAGAGATCGCCCCGGAAGTTGATGACGACCGATATACGGCTGACCCCTGGCAACGCTTGCTGGTGGACTGCTACAGCTTCGGCCAGTACCACTGCGTAAGGCCGACCTTCGATTCTAAATACCGCTGCTGCGTACACGCCTTCCGTGCAGAATAAGTGCGCAATCCGCCGAAGATCTGGACTGGGGCAGGGATGATAAACCTGCCGGATCGTCAATCGATCACGGGGCGCAAGCGCTGCTTCGCTGAGGACCCTCTCCTCCAGAAAACTCATGGCGCTGGCGACGGTGACGGGGAGGCAGAGAGGGAGCAAGAGGAAGAGGGAGATGGCGGAGAGTCAGAGTTGTCGTCGTCGGCTTCCTCAGAAAGAAAGATCGAGGGAGAAGGAGACGGAGCAGAGGGGAGGAGGCGAAGATAGGACACGTGGCGTGTGATCGGGCGAGCCGATCGGCTGCCAGAGACTTCAGGGGCGAGACGCACGGTGTCCACGCCGTTGGGGCCGAGCTCGATCACGCGATATCGCCCGAAGAATCGTGGCGCTAGCTTACCCTGGCGAGCACATTTCCTCACCTGCACTACGTCGGACTCCCCCAATTTGTACTGGGGCCGCGGACCCGCATTCCCATTTCGGGCCTCGTAGCTCCAGATCTGTCGGCCTTGGGCTAGTTCGGTCATTTTCTGTCGTTTTGGGGCTAGCCTGGGCAGTGACCGTTCTATTAGCTCTAGGTGTCGTTTGGCCTTGTCCCTAGCCGTGGCCCTGGTGGGTCGTCGGTTCAATGTAGACTCATCTAAGAGGCTTGGTATCGAAACGCAAGCGATGCTATTGGTCCTTAATTGGAAGGGTCTTAACCCCGTCGATTCGTGGGGCGTTCTGCGATGGACCGCCAGGATGTGATCGACGATATCGGGCCAGGGCCTCGGATCCCGTGCCGCGATGTTTCGTCGCAATGCTGTCTTTATCACCCGGTAAGCGTTTACGACCAGCCCATTGGATTGTGACATGTGGGGTGCAGTGTTCCGTATGGCGACGCCATGTATGACCAGATTTTTTAACACTGCCCCGTTGTCGGTTGGGATCTCTTCCGTATCCTGATGCATCCCAAGGAAACGGTTGACATATCGCGCAATCTCCATGGCTTGCCGCATGCGACAAGGATACGCTTCGATCCATTTCGAGAAATGGTCAACAAATACCAATAAGACTGAATACTCGCAACTATTAGGGCCAGGGGGCACCACTACATCGGTAGTGTCCATGCTCACTCTTTGGAATGGTCGTTCAACAACTGTGGGCACTATCGATCTTAGTGGCTGAATCAGTGCTTTATCAGCGGCGCAGACTTGACAGTTGGCGACAATATATTTCACATCGTCGCGGATATTGGACCAATACCACTCATTTTTGTCGATGGCGGACTCCGTGATTCGTACGACAAAATGGGCCGCATTTTCCTCGTGGGCTACCTTAACCCAGTCATACCGTATGAACGGATGCAGTACCACCATCCAAATCCCACTGCCGTCCGTTTTCCGTCTTTCTAATCTACCTTCCATCCACCGATAAGCCCGAGCCCTTTCGTTGGCCCTCCTCTGATCTTCCTTGGTGAAATCCTGGAGGGGGTTACCTACTAGGGTGGCAATTAAGGCAATATCAGTCCATACTTCGGCCCTTCTAAACTTTCGGGTCTTTTCCAACCCTTCTGACGTGGCATCCAAGAAGCGAGCCTCGGTCGGAATCTTGTCGGTCCGGCACAAGGAGCACAACCACAGTTTTCTATCATTTCTGTATTGGATGCACGAGCCATGGGCTCGCGCGACACACTGTTGGCAATCTATCCAATCCGCATACCCTTCCCCGTTAGGACGCATGGAGACCGAATATACGCGGGAGATAGCTTCGCAAAAATAGCAAAATTTATCAGGCAGGGAGAGGAGAGACAAAGAGGAAGGGGGAGAAAGAGGGGTAGTGGGGTTACCTCCGTCACCCATTGCCACCGTCTTACTTCTTGCCACTTGGAAGAACAGCCACTTGTCCGTATTTCGGCTCGTTGGTCAAGTCCGGCTCCTTCCACGGCGTAATTTCCTCGCCCTTTGGTACCTTGGCAGGTCGATGTAGACGTGTCAGCCCATCCGCGTTGTCGTGTCGCTCTGTCTTTCGATGGACGATATCGAAGTCGTACTCTTACAGTCACACCGCCCAACGGCCAATCATGCCCGTGTAGTTGGTGAGCTTTTTCAATGCTAGTAGAGGCTCGTGATCCGTCACGAGGCGAAACTTCTGTCCGTAGAGATACGAATGGAAGTGTTGGATTCCCCAGACTACCGCATAACACTCGCCTTGAGGTGCGGAGTCGTTTCGGCGTTCATCTGGTACTGTGTGTGACGCGTACTCGATGACGTGTTCGCGACCATCGTTCCCCTTCTGCGCTAGAATAGCGGAAATAGCTTCCGGTTGCCAGTCTGTGATGAGAATGTACTGCTTTGAGGGGTCCGACCGAATCAAAATAAGGGGCCGTCGCCAGAGCGTCTTTGCGGGTTGCAAAGACCTGCTGGCACTCCACGTCCCAGCTGAGAGGCTGGTCCTTTCTTAGCAGATTCGTTAGTGGTCGTGCAATCGCGGCAAAACCCTTGATGAAGCGCCGGTAGTACGATGCCAACCCCAAAAAGGCTCGAACCTGCGTCAGTGACGTGGGAACCGGGGCTTCCTTCACCGCCTCAACTTTTCTCGAGTCCGACCGCAATCCTCCACGTGTCACGACGTAGCCCAAAAACGAAATTTCCGAGAGGAAAAATTCGCTCTTCTCATGCGCAATCTTGAACCCAGCGTCTCGCAACGCGCCCAATGTCCATTCGATATGTTGCGCGTGCCCGTGATAGGTTTCCGAGTAGACCAGGATATCGTCCATGTACACGATCACGCAGAAGTTGATCATCCCTTGCGTCAGCCGTGTCTTGTTGACGAAGTTCTAGAACGTCATGTTCATCGCTCGCTGAAACGTGGCAGGCGCATTGCAAATCCCCATCGGACACCGGACCCACTGCCACGTGCCCTCAAATAGTACAAAGGCCGTCTTCGACCGATCTTCTTCCCTTACCAGAATATGATGGAAGCCATGCCGAATATCAAACTTGCTGAAATAATTAGCGCATCCAATCGCATCCAACAAATCATCAATCCGGCGGAGGGGATACACATCTTTGATCGTGATTTCATTCAGCTTGCGATAATCAATGCAAATGCGAATCGCTCCGTTTTTCTTTGGCACTAACACTACGGGGAATGACCAAGGTCCGGTAGCGGGTTCAATCCAGCCGCTGGCTTTGAACTCTCGAATTCGTTCGAGAGCCTTTTTGCGTTCAATCAAGGAATACCGATAAGATTTGCAATGAATCGGGGAGTGATTTCCTGTCTGAATTTCATGTTGGATTACTAATGACAACCCAATGTCAGTGTCTGACACACTAATCGCTCTTTGATATTCCGTTAGAATATCCGCAATTACCCGATGGATTTCATCCGGCACGTACTGTGGGATGTGCAGTTCGAAAAGTTGGTCCCAGATCCGAACGTCAATCTGTTTCGTGCTCGCCTATTTTGCCAAGTCGGGTGGAGGCGCCGAGATGAATGAATGGTCCGATCGCCAGGAGAACACCGTGGCCATCATCTGGGCATCTTCTTCCCGGATAGCCACGTGTCCTTCCGGGGTAATCCCGTCACAAACATCCCGCCATGGCACTTCCTTGGTTGCGATCTTTATCCCCAGTCCGTCTGTTTCTGCTTCGAAACGCCCAGGGGGTTCCAGAGAGCTTGCTTCCGCCCCCAACCGTAACAACCTCACTTCTTTAGTCGATGTTAACAAGGACTGGGGTAGATCTGTAATGTCACAATAATGCTTCTTGTCGCTATACCGGGCAAGAAGAGGGGTGATTCCTTCGTACAGAGTTTGAGGGGGTTCCAAAGAATCGGCCATCCTCGAAATCTGCACGAGGGGCTCACCCAAGATCATTGCCTTGGTTCTTTGAATTTTTCGGCTGGTCGGTTGCATCGTTCTCGCTATCGTTTTGGGCGACGGGTAGTAAACGCGCTGTCGTGCTAATTTCAAGATCTCGGGATCATCTTCGTCACTGCTGTCCGCATCATTTGTTGATGATTTTCCCTCTGCGGATTCATCCCAGGAGATCATGCGGAGAGTCCCTGCCATCATCGGCGGAACCCGCGGAACCGTGTTAATAGTAGTGCGAAGGGTCAATCGCATGGGCACAGCGTAAGGTTTTCCTCCGGTATTTCGGAGGACGATCGATCGTCGCTCGAAGTCCAGGTTTGCTCGTTATGCCACAAGAGCGGGAAGTCCGAAAAGAACGTCGTACGTGTTGACATCTAGTACTACGACATCCCCAAGCGCGTGCACTTTACCCAATCGGAAAGCGACATTGGTCATTCTTCCCACAGTTTTAATCCTTTCTTCGTCAGCCGAAACGAGCTGATCTTTCTCAGAAAGCATGATCAGGTCGTTTTTCCTACCTGCCCTTTCGACCACTCTCAGTGAAATAGCCAACACAGCTGCTCCCGAGTCTATAATTGCGTTGTAAGGAATTCCCCAAACTTCTATATCGCACTCTGCGGATTTCCATGAAATTGGTTTAATCCGTAGGAAGTGATCGTCTTTCTGGATTAAACCTACCCGTATCGGATCCGAAGTGCTTGCGGGGTTTTCTTCGGGCGCGGGGCCTTTGGCTTTTGCATTTGGTGTTCGGGCGAGGGCGAATCGCTTTCGGTTTGCCTTGCAATACTGTAGCATCCGCTCATTGGCTTGCTCGAAGATCGAGAGTAGATGACCGATCGGAAAGGGAATCCGATGGTCCAAGGCTCGGATGATGTTTAATACATCGATCTCTCCTGTGACGAAGGTGGGTCCTCCCGACTCCATTTCTCCTAGAGACGGTCGCCACTCCGCCACCTCTTTCGGTTTTGGCGCTGGCCTGATTGTTCCGATCATTCCAAGCCCAGGATATCCCAACGATACGTACTGATCTAGCGGGATTAGCTCAGCGGCCTCTTCCGTGGTGGCGAGGGCACTTCCCCCACCGTCTACTTCTTCCATCAAAGCTCCGACTCGTCCAGGTCCGTTGGCGATGGGAACCGCAGCCATAGGTGTGACCCGGATCCGCTGTTGTGGGGGTCGGTGGGGGCAATCACGGGCTAGATGTCCTGGCTGATGACAGGCATAACAAACATTCAGATTATTTGTGACTCCTCCGAGCGCAGGTGCCGGGGCTAATCCTTGCTGTATCGGAGAGGCGCGTACCGCAATGGGCCGTATGTTCCTCATCATGGCTTCCAGCCGAGCATTGTGCTCTCGCTGCTCCTTTTTGCTTTCCTGGATCAAACTAATCAAGGTTTTGGTTAATTCGAAAATGGCCGCCGATTCGTTCGTTCGTGCGGGAGCCTCAACTGGTGGTGGGGGTAGCGCCCTGACGGGTGGGGGCATGATAGGAGCAGAGATGCTCGGAGTCTCGCTTAGGATTACTCGTTTGGGGCCTATCTGTTCCATATAGGTGAGAGGTCCTAATACAAACCCCATGTTTTCAAATTTGTTCTGCAAAGCAGCCAGCTCCGCTCTTGCTCGTGCGAGCTCGGTTGAATCTCCGTCTCTAGGGTAGTCTTCTCCTTCCAGGAAGTTCGCTGCGAACTTCCTTTCCATTTCTTCCG